AGATTCAAAGTCACCTCTTTACAATGATCTATTAAAACTTGCTGTACGATTCCATCATTTTATTGAACTTTGAGTATTGAGATTAGACGAAGAGATGTTAGGATTACAGTAACTGCGGAAAACTGTCATAGTTTTTTGATTACGCAAGACTAAATCTGGGTTAAATAATAGATCAATGAACATGCTTTCTTAAGATAACATAATTTTCTTTTTCATATCTAAAGAGCGATTAGTGTTAAACCAATTCATTCAGGAAGATTTCGTTCAGCATCCAGAATTAAGAAAATTTATTTTAAATATAGAATTTAGAGTTAAAAATTCACAAAGTGTCCTGGCACTTGAAATTTAAAATTCAAGTTGATCCACTGTATATATACACACAAATATATATGTTGCAAGGAATTGTTGCTTTCATTTTCGAGATACATTTGTTTGCATTGATTTCAAGTATTGTTTGCAACTTATTTTACGACTTAAAATAGCTGAACTGTGATACATTGCTATTGTAATTGCATAATTGGCAAGAATTTATTTTTGTGAAATTAAAAAATATATGTATAAAAATTTTAAAAGACAATTAAAATCAGTTCTAATGTAATGAACGTTACTCTAAATTTTAAAGTATAGTGATTTTACATGTCCTTTGGCTATCGTTCTCAGCGCCATATTACGGACCTCTAGTGAACTGTATGCAACATTGGATATGATAAGGACGAAAGTATAAATATTTATTGCCAATGTTAAAGAAATTACTTTTCCAGACTGTGAAATTCTTCGTCTAAATATTAAAAATTTTGCACTTTTTTACAATTTTTAATAATATTTTACATAATTGTTCTTATATATAATTAAATACATATCTATAGTTTTCATATAATTTTATTAAACGATAGATATATTTGTATTAATATTCAGGATTGTATATCTCGTTGTTGTTATAATTCGTTATATAAGAAAGTAATTGAATATATAATGATATATGATATTGAGCAGATATATTGAATATTTCTTAAATCAACTCTTAAACAATTAATATAATGTAAAAGATATAAAATGATACAATATAGAGATTTATATATCTAAGTAAAATTTGAAACATTTCAGAATATTTTATATGAATATAATAACGAAGTTATTTAATTAAATAATTTATTTATGACTCAGATTCAGATAAAGATAAGTTAAGAATGATTTACGAATGAAGCATTAATATACAAGTAAATTTTTCACAATACATTGAACAAATGAGATGTAAATAATATTTAGATATTTTATATGTATTTACAATAATTACATTTCATATTTTATTATAAATAAATAAAAAAATAAAATAAATTCCGAAGAAATGGAATAAATGTAAATTCCATTTAAGATAAATATAGTCCTGTGACTTGTAATTTAATTATTAAAAAATTATAAATAATACAAATACAATTAATACTGGGTGTACTAATTGTATTTTAAATATTACTAGTATTTTAAACATTTGTCTATTTGTCTATGAAATATAAATGCCTATTATTGCAATAATACTATTTGTTCAAAAAAATATAACAGTTGATGATCTTAATTTCTTGAAATACACGAAGTATTTAATAATAAAATAAAACATAAAATTTAATTAGATATATTTAATGCACAATAGATAATAATAAGTAATGTAATTATTTCAATACTTACATTAAACGAAAATAAACAACGATCTGTTGATAATTAATGATGTATTTCCTCTTATTTGCTAAAATTATTCATCAGTTTTTTTCTATTTTCTATTTCCTTCGTACAAAACTCTGAATGATATATCAGAACGTGTTATTTTATTTTAAACTCAAACGTGTTATTTTATTTTAAACTCGGCCCTCTGAAAATCCGCATTACTCGTAATTAGATCGTAGATTTATTTCATGCATTTATAGGAAATTTAATAATGCAAAAATATAGAGAATGTATATAATATGCAAAAATGTATAAAATATTCAAACTATACAACTATACATCCTGTACGTTATTTAACATTCGAACAACCAGACTGAATCAAAATTATCACGATGAATTCGTATTCATTTCTTCTAAATCTCCATATTTAATTTCGCATAGATTTCGTGCATATTTAATTTATAGATTTCCAACGATGCATTTTTATAAAAATATTTATAAAATGTGAACAACGTTTACGTAGAAACATTGTGTCCTTTGCTGTATATAAGCTAAAAACTTCTCCCCATTTTACGCAATTATTCAATTTCTCCTATTTACGTGATTATTCGATACAAGTTTCATTACCTTAGTTGTCGCGTTGACAAATTGTATTGACAAAAATAAATTAAGATGCATTTACAACAATATTTTCATTGCGTGGACACTCTACGCATGACTTAACATATAAATCCGTAACTATAGTTCAAAGACCGATTACGTCACAGAAGCTCACTGACGTCAGGTTCTCGAAGGTTTCTCTCTTTCTTCGTAGTCACAATCTTCCGCCATCATTATCCTCCGCGAGGATTAAAAAAAAAAAAAAAAGAAAGAAAACACGCGAGAATTTGACTGTTCTATTCTGTCGTTTTAACAGCTGTCGTGTGTTACTCGGCACAGTAGATCCCTGGTTCCAGCTCAGAATTCGTATCGCATCGTTTTGCTGGAACGTATTGCATCGATTATAATTGGCTGCAACACCGGTCGCCGGCCCAGAACGGAAATAGACTCTGTAACCGGAGAACTCATTTATGGAAATATGCTGGTGACCATGCGTCCTATTTTTGACCTCCACCGCCGAACGAGGATCTCCTTCCAGCCTCTCTCTCTCCCTTCTCTTTCTGCCATTTTCATCCCTCCCATTCTCCTCGGCCGTGCACTTCTTCACGCTGTAATAAAATTAGACGGGGAGGTTTAATAAATTCATAAATGAACGCTTCTCATCGAGGTTTCGTGATATTACGTAAACTCAGGTACACTCGAGAATGTAAAAAAGATACGCTTCTAAGATTCTTTGCTCGACTGAAGAGCCCCGACTTAACGAATCGTTTAGAAATCGTGTGGAAATTATTTGAAATTCGCTCGGTCCGACAAGTCGTAAGTTTTTCTAACCTTGTTAAATTTGTAATTTCAGAAAGTTCACGTCAAGAGTT